TCCAAGGGATTTCTTCCAACGTATACCAATTGAAATTTGAAATTCAACCTGTACGATATTTACTGACGAAACTTTTCAATTTCCAAGGGATTTCTTCCAACGTATACCAATTGAAATTTGAAATTCAACCTGTACGATATTTACTGACGAAACTTTTCAATTTCCAAGGGATTTCTTCCAACGTATACCAATTGAAATTTGAAATTCAACCTGTACGATATTTACTGACGAAACTTTTCAATTTCCAAGGGATTTCTTCCAACGTATACCAATTGAAATTTGAAATTCAACCTGTACGATATTTACTGACGAAACTTTTCAATTTCCAAGGGATTTCTTCCAACGTATACCAATTGAAATTTGAAATTCAACCTGTACGATATTTACTGACGAAACTTTTCAATTTCCAAGGGATTTCTTCCAACGTATACCAATTGAAATTTGAAATTCAACCTGTACGATATTTACTGACGAAACTTTTCAATTTCCAAGGGATTTCTTCCAACGTATACCAATTGAAATTTGAAATTCAACCTGTACGATATTTACTGACGAAACTTTTCAATTTCCAAGGGATTTCTTCCAACGTATACCAATTGAAATTTGAAATTCAACCTGTACGATATTTACTGACGAAACTTTTCAATTTCCAAGGGATTTCTTCCAACGTATACCAATTGAAATTTGAAATTCAACCTGTACGATATTTACTGACGAAACTTTTCAATTTCCAAGGGATTTCTTCCAACGTATACCAATTGAAATTTGAAATTCAACCTGTACGATATTTACTGACGAAACTTTTCAATTTCCAAGGGATTTCTTCCAACGTATACCAATTGAAATTTGAAATTCAACCTGTACGATATTTACTGACGAAACTTTTCAATTTCCAAGGGATTTCTTCCAACGTATACCAATTGAAATTTGAAATTCAACCTGTACGATATTTACTGACGAAACTTTTCAATTTCCAAGGGATTTCTTCCAACGTATACCAATTGAAATTTGAAATTCAACCTGTACGATATTTACTGACGAAACTTTTCAATTTCCAAGGGATTTCTTCCAACGTATACCAATTGAAATTTNAAAATCTTAACTATATTTTTAACGTGGCATATCAAAATTAGTAAAATAGAACACTTATTTACCTACGTGTCGGGGTTGGTCACAGGTTTTAAATTGACTTACAAAATTGTAGGGTATTTTGTAAGTCAAATTATAGGGTATTTTGTAAGTCAAATTGTAGGGAATTTTGTAAGTCAAATAGTCTATTCGTAAAATATCTGAAATATCTGGAAAAATTTATTGTATTCTTTCATTAATGCTTCAGTTGAGAATTATAAATGAATTAAAAAGAAGCCAACAGGATGAGTGAAGACAGTACCCGCCTCACCACCCTGTATCACTACTTACTTGTAATGATTAATTACTCGATCTCCTACGTCTGATTCTAAACGAAATCTGATAGGTGTAATTTTAAATAAATAATTTTAATTAAAATATATCCCATTATGCGATAACATCCTAAATATCGAAAGAAGATATAAGGAACTGATCCAATTCCAGAAAGTAAAACCGTTTCTTTCGCTACTATTTTTAAACTGCTGAATAAAATTGATTAAAATTTTCAGAAACCTACTCTAAATAAAAAGTTTCTTAAATCTTTAACCCAACAGTGCAATTTTCGAGCGCTTTTCCCAAAGCTAACTGAGAGATTGACAAACACAAAAACCATACCTGCTCTTCTAATTTTTACAAACATCGTGTAATTAAGGAAAAATCTAATCGCAAGCGAAAGCACTACGGTGCTGGCATGCAATCCAGACGAGCTTAGAAAAGTAATTGTTTTCACCTTTACAAACACACCCTCCAAAACCCTGACCTGGAAATGCGTATCTATCTTAACATTTCCCGTCCGACCAGGCCTGACACTTATCGTTGGTTAGTCTAAATAAATCAACACTTTACGTTTTCTGGGTCATCACAGAAATACACAAAATCCACATGAAGCCTGAGAGCTAATTGGAAACAAAAGTATACTCCGTTTAGTTTCTGTAGCGATGTGACCTTCAGTTTGACCGGCGCAAAGTAGAAAAGAACAGCACTAGGCCAGAAAAGGAAGGAGACAACTCTCGGCAAAACTCATAACCGGTGAGGAGCGTATAATCCGTACAGTACTGCACGGAAAAATTGACCATTTTATCCACTACCGTTGCATTGCTCAGATGTGCTGTTATTGGTACCATTTACTACTGAAAATATCAACGAGATGTTTATTTATGTTTGAAGACATATTAAAGGCTTTAACGCTTGTTTTCGACTCGCATTACTATTCATGATTGAACAAAACTGTTGTCAGGTACTGTATGAAGAAGTATGTTTAATGAACAAGAGTCGAGATTATAATGAGCTTTTTTCTCCCTACCTACGATTTTGCCAGCGCGCATCCAAGACATTGGAAGAGGCACATCGCTACAGAAAGTAAATGAAGTATAACTTTATTCAGAAAATACTACAAATGGCACAGTGAACGCCATCTGTAGCACGATGTTACATTTTAGGATTACGTATGCTCCAACAAGGTCCACTTGTATGGATATCTACTTGCTGAAAACGAATCCCGGCGTAGCCGACCTCACGTGATAGGCACGTTAGCTTAATCGAATAAAATAATTCGAAGTGGTCTGTATTCTGTCGAAACTGCCAGACGCGGNTCCTGATGGTTTTAATTGTGGCCTACCAATTACTTTGCTATTCCAATTCCTTTTTTATGAACTAAGGCATTCTGATGCTATTAAAAGATGGTTTTACAAAAAACTGTCTCTAGAATTTGATGAGCTAGTGACTAAAACTACAACAGGAAAATTTTTCGATGCTGTTACTGTATGTATTTGAGTCTTGAAACAGAAAACCATGAATTTATTAGTATTATTGCAGATAAAAGATATTCATTTAGGATCACAGTTTCCTATTCTAAAAAATATTGGAATTGATAGTGTTAAGTTAGATAAATCTGAAGGCAACATTGAGACTTTGACACTAACAGTTGATGTAGATTACAGAGGTAACTTTTCACTGTCAGTAAATGCTAGAATGAAATTTGGAAAAACTGCCTACTTGTCTATTAAAGGTAAATTTACGATTAGTATTAGCTCCATAGCTTATTCACATATACTTTTCTATTTAGTTAAAAAATTGTGTGGAACAATAAGACTCCAGTTTACAAGGATTCCATACAGCCACTGGTCCTTTAGCTTCTGTCGTGACCCATTAATTGACTTAGCTGTTCAGTCTCAATTTCAAGGAAGACAACTACAGTCAAATATCACAAGTTTAATTGTTCATCAAATTAAAAAGGCCATTAAAAGAAAACATACTTTACCCAATTATAAAATTAGGTATTTTGTGACAGAATTATTACTTACCCTTATTCTGAAGAAGCCTCAAGGAGGCGAAACAATAGTAAAGTTTTTATATATATATTTGTGGAAATTAATTTGTGTTTATTTATTAAGTAAACTATAAAGCTTTAACAAAGCTTTCTGCCACGAAAAACTCTAAAAAGGGCGTACTGTAGAACAACGATTCCTAAAAGGGGATTCCGTGGAAGGGTCGCAGGGGTTCTGCTAGTTAAAGAGCAAGTCCTTACAGGAAAGAAACCACAATCACGTTTATAGTTAGAGATAAAATATCCTCACGGAGGATAAAACGCAAATTTGGCTTCTGGATTGAATGTGTTGAACAAAAAGATTACGAGTGTTTTCCTATTCCGAATAAATTTCTTGAAGAATATACGTTACAAGTAACCTCAGATGTAGGCAAAACCATAAACATGAACATTTATTGAATCTCAAAAAATCCTTAAAAGAATATTTTCCAGAGTTGTTACAGAACATCCACTGAGTACAGAATCCAATCATAAAAAAGACCAAACCGTCAATGTTAACTGTGTCATAGTACAAGAATTTGATCGATATTGAGAATTCATCAAAAATTCGAATCAACTGATTTAAATTTGCATGATGTTTTAATCAAACCTAAAGATGAATTCTCAATATTCTCTGTATTGGATTAAAGCTCATTTGGATAGTAAACATGACTAGTAAAAGAAAATATTTGTGTTCGTATAAAAAATAGCTAATTGTTTAAACATTTAGACGGTATGGAAGTCAATAAGAAATAAGCGAAATAGGTTGGTTAAACACCTTCTCAGGACAAAGGTAGACTTAGATTAGATTACTGTTCACAAATACCTGAGGGTGTGGGATGTTCTAATTTCATGGAAATACCAAGATTAGCTCAGGATAGAAAATAGTGGAGATGCGTGTCCAACCACCAGTCTTAGGACTGACGACTTTACGATGATAATGATGATGAGACATTTAGATAACAAACTGTATTTAAACAAGAAAACAGATTTTTTAATTTAATCATCAAAGTATGTTTTCTTAATACTTTTTAATTAGAAAAGATTAGGGCAACGAAACGAACCATAAAATAACTCAGTAACTAAAGAAGAAGGTTAGGTAGTGGTTAGTTAATTTTTTTTCTTTCCAATTTTATTTAACTTCGTATTTGTAAAATTTTTGTATGGATATTTTTAAATTGATGTGTAATACGTAATGAAGATAAACCAATTAATTAATTACTTCGTTGAATTTTCTAAGGCATTCCTTTTAATTGCTTTTTATAAATGTAAATAGAAATTTTAAGCATTGTATATAAAAGAAAAATTCAGAGTAGTAAGAGATATTCATTCATAAGTTTGTGTAGTTTTATATACACATTCAAATAAAGCAAAATATATTTAAATAAAGCAAAATTTGTATTACCGAATTGGATTCAAATTATATGTTCTTGACAAACTTTTACAGACTTTTTAGAAATATTTAACTTTAAATAGGGTACCTAGTTATGCAACACACAATACAACTAAAATTTGCGACACCTATATGAAAATGGTAAAAGCGACTTGACAGATAGTTTTTGTCTAGTGGTTTGCTGTGTTTATGTTAACCTAAAAAAATGGGTCTTAATTTTTGTAATTTCCAGTATTTTCTTAACTAATATATTAAAATGGTATAACAAAATTATAACACTTTACAAAAATGGACATTTTTGCCTTGCTGTTTTTGTCGTGTATTTGTATTTTATTGGGAATAATAATAACATTAGTGGCTCAATACTACCTGTTCTTAAAATATTTGAAAATCAATTCGAAAAGTGTGTCTCAGGATTCAGGAGAGGAAAATACAAAACAAGAACCATTTCAACTGCCAGAAGTAAGAAGTTTTACTTATTTATTTCACATAGGATTAAGTAAAAACACAAAAACATTCCAGGAATTACAAGAACAGTTAGAAAATGAAGCCCTTCCTGATGGTTTTAATTGTGGCCTACCAATTACTTTGCTATTCCAATTCCTTTTTTATGAACTAAGGCATTCTGATGCTATTAAAAGATGGTTTTACAAAAAACTGTCTCTAGAATTTGATGAGCTAGTGACTAAAACTACAACAGGAAAATTTTTCGATGCTGTTACTGTATGTATTTGAGTCTTGAAACAGAAAACCATGAATTTATTAGTATTATTGCAGATAAAAGATATTCATTTAGGATCACAGTTTCCTATTCTAAAAAATATTGGAATTGATAGTGTTAAGTTAGATAAATCTGAAGGCAACATTGAGACTTTGACACTAACAGTTGATGTAGATTACAGAGGTAACTTTTCACTGTCAGTAAATGCTAGAATGAAATTTGGAAAAACTGCCTACTTGTCTATTAAAGGTAAATTTACGATTAGTATTAGCTCCATAGCTTATTCACATATACTTTTCTATTTAGTTAAAAAATTGTGTGGAACAATAAGACTCCAGTTTACAAGGATTCCATACAGCCACTGGTCCTTTAGCTTCTGTCGTGACCCATTAATTGACTTAGCTGTTCAGTCTCAATTTCAAGGAAGACAACTACAGTCAAATATCACAAGTTTAATTGTTCATCAAATTAAAAAGGCCATTAAAAGAAAACATACTTTACCCAATTATAAAATTAGGTATTTTGTGACAGAATTATTACTTACCCTTACTAAAATTAATATTTGATTAAAGATATAAACCATTCTTTATAAAAACTGATCCAGGTCAAGTGGATATTGATGACTACGAAGTAGTTTCCCAAGGAAACTTACAAATTGAATGTTTAGAAGTAAGTAGATTGGAAGTGTCCCCAGATGTTCAAAAAGTATATACAACATTTGCTGTTGGTGAGTTCTCATAACTAAATGTTTCCTATTTTTAATTTTTTTATTTTAAATAACAGTTCATAAATTTTTAATTGCTAAATCAAACTTCTCTCTTTGTGAGGTTTCCTAGCACACCTATCTCCACACTATCTTCCTTCTCTAATACATATCCTAACTCTTGACCTGTGCATGTGTTCTCTTAATATTCTTTCCACCTATCTGATTTTTCCCCATTTTCTATTAAATGGCTCCTGTCTCGTTTCTTATTTATCAGGACTACTACTGTACCCAACTTCTCTAAACTTCTTTACAATTATAGGCCTCATTTTTTTTACATGCTTCAAACATTTCTTCTACTTCTTTACACTTCATATCCAATCCTGTGTTCCTTAGATGCCCTATACTTCCTATTTCCCAGTAGACCGCCTTATACCTTTCTTGTGTGTTTTCGCCTTTCTTCTATTAATCCTACAATCTCGTTTGTTATCCAACTTTTTACTTTTTCCAAGTAAAGACTTTTCCTACCTTCCCTCTTCTTTATAATTTAGAATTTAAGATTGGTCTTCATAATTACTAAATTATTATTGCTGTCTATATCTAAACCAACATTTGGGTTATTTAAAAATAAAAAAGGTAGGTAATTTAAAAAGAAATTTGTTTATTCTTAAATGAGGTAATTGAACTTAACAATTACTTTATTAGGAAAAGAATTGGCGTCTAATTGAAATTTAAAAGATTAAAATTTTCAAAATGCTATCATTCCAAAACAAAATAACTATGTATCTATAAAGATTCTTTTACTTCTATAAAGATTCTTCCCTTTTGAAGGGTAAAGGAAGAATACTGCCTAGACCTGTTACAATTAGGAAAGATTAAGCGTCAAATCAAAGTGATTTTATCATCAATACAGGGAGATGTCAATCCGAAAGCTGATTGGACACGCACCTCCACTCTTTCCTTTCTTAAACCAATTTTCCCATTTCCCGAAAACTCACATCCTTAACTATTTGCGAACAGCAATTTAATCTAGGTCTTCTTAATGTGTCTCAAAAGGTGTTTCTGAACCCTAATTCTTTTAAATGTCTCCTCTGTTGTTTCTGTTTCTAACTTTTTCTATGTTCGGTATGTTCTTCATCCTTGTTTATCCTTCATAACGCCAACTCACCGTCCATGTTTTGTACTCGTATAGGGCCGCTCTCAAAGCATTCATTTTTGCCACTCTTCGAATTTCAAACGATCTCAGTTCTTTTGTATTATTCCATTTCGCAGACACGTTTGCATGGATCAGTGTTTACCAAGGTGACGATTACTTTGTGATGTTACTCGAACTAACGGTGACAAAATTTCGACAACAACAACTTGGGGCAGCGTTTAAACTAGAACGTAATCTCATTGTGATAGAATCTCTTGTTCCACAAACTCCGGCTGTTAATTGTGGTTTAAAAGTGGGTGACGTTGTCGTGACCGTCGATGGTAAGTCAGTTGTGTCATTGGCCCAAGCAAACAAATTGATAAAGTCAACTTCAACTTGTTGTTTTCGAGTACAAAGGAAAGTGAACAATTATGTGATAAAAGAGAAATTTTTGAAGACAGAAGAAAAAACACCTGTCAAATGTTTGAATAAGGTAATTATTAATTATTAAAAGGAAAAGATGAGCGTGAGGGAATTATTACAGAATGTTTGTTGCTAATCCCACTTCTTTTCTTTAAACATTTCCTTGTCATCACCTGTCTGTTTCCTTTAGGATGAGAAATATCAAGAAGATTTCGAAATCGTGGAAGAATCTGTTAAGCCAAAGATACCTGAAGAAGTATTGGATTCTGGTAAAAAGTCACGAAGTTTCACCGGGTTAGAAAGAATCAAGAGTAGCGACAAAATTCCAAAAATACTCACGAGCAATAGTGAGAATATGTCCAAAATCGCCCAAACCATTGGCAGTTTCACCCTCAGAAAACGTAAAATTTCATCCTCGCCGGGAGACAATATCCCCACTACCACCACCAGTTCACCACAGCATTCGAATTCTAAATCCAACTACATTCCTATTCCTTCCGTATGCATTACAAATCCCAGAAAATTGTCCTTTTCTGAATCACATGAGAATTCAGTGGAAACTGAAACGATTGAAATTTTGAAAGGACAAACAAAGGATTTAAACACTGTGATAAAATTTAATGACGAATACTCGTTTAATCTGAGGGACACCCACAAATATTTGAACGTGAACGTGTGGGGTGTGACTGCCTCTAACAACGAAATTTTGTTGGGATACGTGAATGTTCCTGTTGTCCAAATTCTTAACGAATTTTCGTGCTCTCTGTTAGGATACAGTACCATGACTTATCCTTTCTTGCCCCCAAATATATCTACCGCAAGGTAAGTTACAAAAATTCAGTCATTTTTGTACAGAAGTTACAAGTTACAATGTTGCAAATGGTATTTAATTCTTTAAAATTATCAATGAACATATTTATTTCATAAAAGCGACTTTTGCTAACTTTTAAGTAACAAAGTACTAGGTACCTGAAGTAAGGTACGAATATATCTTAGTCATTGGAAAGCATTCCTGAGGAAGCCAATTTAAATAAAAACCAGAAATCACTTAGGAATGTGATAAAATTTGTATCGAATTCGTGATTTTTGTTAGTTTTTGACTAATAAAAAGGAATGTGAATTCCAGCCAAAACCATCCTTTGACAAGTCATTCTGGCTTCGAACAGGTGTTCTGTTATGGAGATATAGTTCTATCGTTTATATGGAACGGCGAAACTGAAATAAAACGTAAAAATCCTGTTGCTTCTTCTGAAAACGATCTCAAAAAGCCGTTTGTCTCTTCTACTAAACACGACTTTGTTAGGATGCAATTTAACCGTACTACTCATTGCGGATTTTGTGCAAAAAAGGTATTAAAAAAATAAAATATTTTAAATTTTGATTCAATCTGTAATTTCGATATTTAATTCTTGCATTATTCTAAAAAGTTGCTTTGAAATTACATAAAGAACATTTTAAATACAGATATGGTTGAAAGACGCTGTGCAATGTAAAGAGTGTACTCTGGCTTGTCACAAGAAATGTATGTCTAAGTGCCAAATGAATGTGCCTTGCGAACCCGTCGAAAAAGTTATCGAAGCCCTGGACTCTATACAACCAGAAATTACAATGAGTGAACCCCTAGATGACGATTTCGTAACCATTGAGTCCACATACCATGTCGAAGCTAAAGAAGAAAATGGTCTAAAGAGAGTTAACAGTGCTAAAAATCTGAGTGTTCCTGGTAAGTGTCTTGTACTTTTAGTTTAATCTAATTCGCATAATTATTTAAAGAGCAATAACTGGATTCTTATTTATTTTCACCTATACCGAAATTAGATCTTTCAATTTGCATCTGTGATCTCTTTTTACTCATTTCCATATCTTCCTAATTCTGTTCATAAATTATTTCGTTCCTAAAAAGAAACTGTTGTCTTCTTTGTCGCTTTTCTTAGTGGAATATTATGGACAACTACAATCCAAAAGTTTGCCTCAATCACCTCAAAGAACACCAAGGAAACAATCTTTAGTTGCTAACACCAATTCGTTCCTAATGTGCCCGAAAATTCTCGAAGAAATACAAAATCAAAATCCTCAGCAAATCACAGAAAGCATTCTTCATATGGTTGACGAAATTCTAATGTATCCCTCGGATGAATCTTTAATGGACGAGGCAAAAGAAAGTGGCATGCAACTTTACATGGACATACCCATGGAAGTTAAAGTGGAGAAGATAAATTTGATGGTGAGTGCTACTAATTTTTGCTGCTATTAAAAAAAAAAAGGAAAAAAGAAGGTAAGTTGTTTAACAGGTTTCAGAGTTGAAAAGGGTACTGGACTCTACAACAATTGAACATATGGAAATGTGCAAACAACTGAGCAGCACCGAGTCAGACGTTGAAAAAGCTCGGCTTGCATTCCTTATAGGACAAGCCGATGCCAAAATACAAGGCCTAACCGTACTCATGCTCCACTATTGTTCTGGCCTACAGCACACCCAAGAAAAAATAGTATAAATCGTAATTGTTATCAAAAATTTACAGCACATCGTTAATAGCATTTAATGTAGAAAAGATAAAAAAGATAACGTGGTCGATGTTGTTCAATAAAATCGATAAGAGACCAATTAAAAAGGATTATGCACCACAGCGTCTGTCGATTTTAGTTTAAAAACGAAATCCATAATTATATTTTAAAAAAATAGCAAAACCGTAGAATATTCCTTCTTAAAAGAAATGGTTTAGCACGAAATAATCTTTTTGTTTCTAAATAAAGGTACTAATTATTTTAAAATTCATAGTAAAATTAGTATCTTTTCCTATTATCACGATGTTAAAGATTAGCTGGCTTTAACTATTTCATCCCCCTAGGGTCATTTTTCCAAAGCCTGGTTGGACACGCACCTGCACTCCCCCTATCTTCATCCAAACTTCGCATTTCCCAAGAACTAGAACATTACACCTTTAATTATTTGTGAATAGTAATCTGATCTACTTTCTTCTGTTCCTCTTTACTCCTGTTCCAACTTTTTAATATCTCTAACTAACCCTTCATACTTCAGAGGGTGGTTACCATATTATCAATATTTTTCCTTATTGGCTTCTACAGCGTCCTGGGTTCTCCTCTACCTTTTCTTTTATCTACAGTATTTTCATCATTCGCCTACACCAAATGGTCCTAATTTTTTTTTGTCGCTGGACACGTGCCCGTATAGAGTCATGTTCCAGTTTATCAATATTTTTTGAATTTCCAAATTAACCACTCACAAACACAGGAGGAATAATTGAAGAAGAACTGTGGTGCTGGCCTCTTATAATTAGTACTTAAAACTAAGTTTTTTTTTCGTGAATACGTTAAGAAAACTAGTTTTTTTATTGTTTAGTATTATATATAATTTATTCTTTTTTTGTGGTATTAGTGGGAGTACATTACACAGATCTCGTTAAATATATTTATTTAAAAAATAGACACAAATCTTAAAAATATTAACAAAATTATTTAAACAATTACATTTTAAACTAATTGACACGTTATCAATAACGTTAAGTGTCTATTATTTAGTGAATTTATTCTCTTAGATAAATTGATAAATGTGTGCATTAAAAATAAGCTTTAATTATAAAATTTACTCTGCATTTAAAATTTTTTATTTTTTCCCAGAATTTGTTTGGTTTCTAACAACAATACGGGTTGTTAACCATTGTTTTATGTAAGTNAGGCATGAATCCCGCAAGTCCGACCGGAAGAAGAGATACTTCTACTTCATCCAAATCAATGATGCCACTATTTATAGAAAAATGCTGTCGCGCATGTAATAAAAACGAACAGGGATTATAAAACACCAGATCCTCTGGCAATGCGTCTGGGCAGTACTTGCAATTGTACACTATTCGAATTGATCTTCGATTCACGTGATCGAGAAACGAATTCTTTGAGCCAAATCTGTTATAAAATTATAAAAGTTAATTCAGCTAAGTATTTAAAAATATAAAAGTAATATTAAATTTATTTGTTTGTTTACTACAAAAACTATTAGAAGAAAATTATTTATTTTAGTTTGTGTAACTTTCTTTTTTTATATCGTCTTGTTCTTTGTCCTTTGTATCAATTCAGTTTACAACTAGTCAATTATCACAAAATGGCATTATCACCTGTTTGTATGTAGTATTTGATGATATATACAAAATCAAATGAAATTTATGTAAAAGACAGTATTAGATATAAATAATAAACCTGTGATGATCAAATGAATCGTTTTTGTCGATCCAACAAGTTATATTAGGGTGATTAAATAAAATAAAAACCAAAAACAATGGCCACTGCCAGGAAAATATGTTGAACTTGCCCAGACTAAATCCACATTTGTACTTTTTACTAAATGTTACCTTCGTTATAACTACTTAATGCAATAGAAGTTTGTTGTAGCATCGCCCTGGAGAGTGGCGTTATTTTGACATAGGGTGTAAACAATGCACATGGTACATACTGATACAACAATGGGCCAATAGCTTTCACGGTATTTGTATCCAATAGATTGATACAAAATTGTTTTGGGAATCCAATTACTTCTTTTTTTAATATGATTTTTTTTCATATTTTTGAGACTTTCAAGTATGTATACTCCTAGTACATATGCCAGGGGCTGAAATCATTAAGCCTGAGGCAAATTTACCACACATCCCTTACAATGACCCTAACAAATGTGAGTTGTGCGCTTGCGTACAACCAAAACGAAAAAGGACCTTACTTAACAGAGAACATTAAAGATCATTTAACATTATGAGACAAAAAGGCCATACCATGCACACGGAGATGCTTGTGTAAATCAAAACTAGATTCGAATTCTTGCAAACAAACCCTACATTGGTTTTCTTTTACAGGAATTTTCGATTCACCAGGAACCAATTTCAGGCTCTCCTCTAATTCCTTAACTGCTTCCTTATCATAACAATTATTCTCTTCGATGTAGGAGTCAATGTCAAATATCTGGTGATAAAATTGAAGATGTTTCGCCAAAGACGGCTTTACCACAAAACATTCCCCGCACTCCATACATTGATACGAGGTTGACACCAGACGATGAGTAAGAACGTGGTCACAGAATACTTGACGATCTGGGGCAGAAAATGAACACAATCGACAGCGGTAAGTACCATCGAATGGCAATGGTTGGTCAGGTTCATCAGTTTGAAGCTCAGGAAAGTTTTTAGACGCTAACAGTTTCCTATGTTTATGGGCTAAACTGTTATAATTATATCGTCTTCGTTTTCTTCTAGCACTATCGTCAGATTTTGGAGAAGCTTCTTCTTCTCTTTCTTCTTCTTTTTCTTCTTCTTCTCCTCCTACCTCTTTTCCTTCTTCTTTTCTTGCTTTGGTTTTAGAAACTTTAGGAACGATAACAACAGGTTTACTGTACTTGCAAATCTTTACGTGTTCCTTTATATTTTCAACACTAACTTCACATAATAAACATATATTTTCTTCAGAATCAACATACAAACCAGTCTCATCTGTCGTTCTATTTGACGATTCTTTACGCAAATTACCCTCTTTCGGCATAATGAAACTTTTCGCTGGTAAAAACAGCCTTTCTCCACATTTCGGACAATTAGAAACTATATTGTGCAAATAAGAGACCTGAAACTTCAAGCGAACGTTGCATCTCGAACAGATAGTAATAACCATTCGGACACTACTCTCAACACATTCAAGTGCCTTTTTGCGTAGAATTTGATCTTTCTGAGCCAATGTCCGACTTTCGCCATTAGGTAATGACCCAGTTGTTAAATTTGGATCCTTACTAACATCTTTATTAGGTACATTAGCTACATTCTTGGAACATCGAAGCATATGAGTAGCATACGTGTTAGTCGATTTAAAAATGCTTTTACAAAACTTGCAAACGTGAATGTAAACAAAATTTGCTCTGTCCTTCCCATGAGACAGGACGTGTTCTTCTTTTTCTTCTGATGAAAATGTATCTTGGTCCGCACAAACTGTACAAGTGAATACAGTATGGAACCTCGCATTGCCTTCATGAAAATCTTCGGCATGTTCGAAATAATCCAAATCAGTGTTAAACGTCTCGTCACAAACTTCACATATGTAAGTTGTTAGCAGATGGATGGCCGAAAAATGAGCAAAGAACGTAATATTTTGAGCAAATATTTTACTGCACCTTTTTCCAGGACATTTAACGCGCACTTGTTTCTCCAAATGGAAACAAACGTTGTTCAAATGAGCCAGTAGGGGAGGCCAGCTGGTAAAACTTTTAGCACACTCCGGACAAACATACGGAGGAATAGTGTCATGGATACGTTTGTGAGCTTTTAAAGAACACGAAGATGGAGCGATGAATCTACAGACGGAACAACGGAAGGACTCGTTCGATGGCTTATTTTGTTCTAAGAAATGATTCGACAATGGCTCAATTTGAACTTCTTTACACTCAGGACAATTAGTTACATTTATAACCGTATCATCCCCATCTGTTGTCGTATTTGAAGAAGATGAATTATCAGACTCCGCCAGCGTTTCGACTTTAGTTATAATCGGCATTGTATATTCAATTTGATTTTGATTTCCTTCGACAGACTCAGTCTTTATTGCTGTATCCGACGCCAAAACGCCTCCATTACTAATATCGCTCGAGAACATAACTGCATTGTTATTATTATTACCCAAATTCAAATTAAGTGCATTAGAAGAAGGAATTACAGGACAATGATTTAAATTAGCGCCATCTATTTGCACCAGAATGCATTTCGGAACCTTACGGCTGATCTGTTTCAACGCCAGAGTATGAAAGGGTTGATTAGCAATAATACAAATAAACAAGAACACCTCGTTGGGGTTGAAACAGATATACCTGTGACCATAACACTCAGTCGTAGGATTGTAAAATCTGTTATTGATGTACTCCGAATTGATGTCGTCATCTTCAATATCATAAAGTACTTTTATATTAGGATGAGGCATGAATCCCGCAAGTCCGACCGGAAGAAGAGATACTTCTACTTCATCCAAATCAATGATGCCACTATTTATAGAAAAATGCTGTCGCGCATGTAATAAAAACGAACAGGGATTATAAAACACCAGATCCTCTGGCAATGCGTCTGGGCAGTACTTGCAATTGTACACTATTCGAATTGATCTTCGATTCACGTGATCGAGAAACGAATTCTTTGAGCCAAATCTGTTATAAAATTATAAAAGTTAATTCAGTACTGTAATATATGTACACTAGAATTTAACGCATGTGTTAAATTTCCAAAAAATAGTTTTCATGTACATAAACCCAAAGACTTACATATGTCGACAAGCGTAGCATGGATAAACTTGTAAACCATCTTTTGGTTTGAAAGATATCCATTCTTTCACACTTTTATCAAATAATAAATTCCATTTTGATGAATACACATTCCTGCTTTCCTAAAATTTAAGAAAAAAAAAAGATGTATACCAACATTCAGTAACTTCGTATCTTTTTTCTGTTATAGTGTCCAAGAAATTGTTGACTTTGACATTGACCGTTCGTTGTCACATTAGTGTATTTATTTTAGCAACGATTTTTGAATTAGAAATCCAAAATGTTTAAGTCAGTATGACCAATCACCAATATAATAAGTGTATTACTTTCATTTCGATAAATTTTGATTTTTCTGGAGTACAATCAAACATTAAGGCAACATAATTTAACTTCTTTACACCAAAGTGCAAATAAGTGGTAAAAAAAGCAGCAAACAACTAAGTAAACTAGGGCGCATTAGATATACGAAAAATGAATGAGGAAGAAGTAAAAAACAAGACCAACAGAGACCAAGAACTACAAATACCATACGAAGAAAATAAGTACATGTAGGCCATTTCAAAACGAAGTAACGAAAAAATTGATGAAAAAGGTGAAGTAAAGAAAGAAAAACCACCAAATCAACTAGTTTATAAGACATTTAATATAATTATTTACGCAGGGTCAATTGAAAAGAACGTCAGATAAACTGCAGAAATCATTACAAGACAAGCATCTAAGGTACAATCATAAAAGCCTTTGTAATTAAGAATGCTGTACCGAACTTACCAAATTTCTCTTAGCCATATCTCCCATGACACTGGCTGAAAATAAAATAAAAAATGCATAAATAAATTATTATTTATACATACATTGTTTCAAACAATTCCAATTCCTATCTAAATTAATCCATAATGAGTAATTTGATACAATTGGCATTTAATTTATAAATATATGATCGAATTAACCAAATAAAATTTTATCCTTTTTTAGAACTGTATACAACTGTATTTCCAAAATCGTTTTATAAAGATATTTATTCTGATATTCTACTGGATAAGTTTTTAAATTTATTTGAGATGGCACAATGTGATGTCTATAGTCCACCATTTTGAAGTATTTTTTATTATTAGTTTATGGAAGTCAATAAAAAATAGGCGAAATAAATTGGTAGGATACCTTCTCAGGCATGAAGATCTAGTCAAACAGATTAGAATTAGAAAGAGAAAGAGGAGTAGAGGTAGACCTACATTAGATTACTATTCTCAAATAGTTAAGGATGTGGATTGTTCTAGTTAGGAAAATGCGAAGATTAGCTCTGGATTAGAAGAATGGAGATGGGTGACCAACCAGTTTTAAGACTGATGACCTTATGATGATGAGTTTATTAGTGATCAATACAATCAATTCAATTCCTAGTTTTTCCATATCAACTTTTAGCCCTCATTACACCATTTTAGGCATGCTTAGGGTTGATTCTGTAAACATCTTAAGTTCATTCTTTCATATTTCTGAGACCAGAGGTAGAGGTCAGACAATTGTATTAATTGGTAAGTTTGGAATTATTTTATAGATTTTAAAAGTAGTGAACATTATTATTGTGTCAGGCTGTACAATGAGCAACCTGTGTAATATTACTTCTTCTGTTAATCGTACATCTCCCACAAAGCTGCAGCCTGCACAATACCGCATACAGCATAAGTAGCGAGCATACCCAACAGATGTGACGTAACAGCCTGACAGCGCAATTCTAACCTGACATCACAAAAACGTCGAGAAAAATCTCATCTTTCTTTTCTTCTAACTTATACTTTCAAATATTAAAGAGCAATTAACTGAGCTATACCGTTATATTTTAGTTCTGTTTCTAAAACGATGCATAGCAGCTAGTGGTCTTTAATAAGTCATACCCACCCAAATTATTGATTTTTGCTTTTTTAGGTATATTTAACTTATTGAGGAAGACTTGATTAATTTTTTAACTAATTATCAAAATTTTTAACTCATAATTGCCTGCATATGTAACTAAATTATATTAATCATATATTGTTTAAGTAAATGTCCCAAACTATACATTTTTTATCAATTTATAGATAGGTTTCAAAAATGATATTGCTTATACTACAAGAAGGAGGAAAGGTTACCCTCTGTTGTTCACTTTGAGAAGGGACCTCTTCTTTAAATCAGATGGTTATTTATTCCAGGCTGTACGCAACAGAAGCAATCACCTGCAACCAAAATACAATATTATTGATAATTAAAAAACTAATAACAGCACTTTTCGAAACGTTAAATTACTCTTTATTACGCTAAAAAAACAATTGAATTGTCTGGGTGTCCTGACCTTGAGCAACACTAAGTCTGTACTTACAATATGATGCTACATGAATACTACAGGTATTGTAGGCTTAAGCTAATCAACACAAATAGTTAAGTAGTGAGTTATATTTTTATGAAAACCATTTTACTACCCTTATCTTATCTAATACATAATATTTATTACCCTTGCAACTATTTCTGGTACAGCACACAAACATTGATAAGACACAAGTAACAATTGTCACGTATAAGGTTATGTTAATCAACCTAACGCCACTTACAAACAAGAAGTGAGTTTCCTTTCCTACTCTCTACTCATATGCTCCGCCCACCGACAGTAACATACAGAATACCTCCCTTAATTCAAATCAAATACTGTACACATAGATACTCATGTTAAAAGACATTTAAGTTAAACATTATTTGGATTATTTATAAAAAGATTAATACATAAACAAACAGGAATTGAGTTGTACCTTTAAATACATAAATAAGATGAACTGAACAGTCATGAGTAAATGAGTATCATCAGAATTAGCGCGAGTCTGAATGTGTGTTATAAAAATATTCAATACCGTCCACGGGATTACCCTAGCATTTAGTGTGTGAAGGTCCAAACCCAAATAATTAAAAAAGTAATTAAATGCTGATTACAATAAAATAAATAAGAAATATTGATACTGGGATAAGTGATTTAGCAAATAATTCAAAATGTTTAGAATTTCCTATTGTATATTTACTACTTATGAAAAATTGCTTTTTCTTAAGTCAAAAATAAATATTACAACTTATAATCCTCATGGTAAAATGTGAAAGACTAATAATCATTAAAAAGTGAATCAAACCCTTAGGATTAGGTAAACTGTACACTTCATGAGTGTCAAACAATCCAGTTCCTCAAGTATGAGTAACAGCAGATCCTGGCGCCAATAACTTGAATTTTACTTATAAAATTATTGAATATAGTCCAGATAAGAACTATTAAATATTAATTAATATAAATAATCAAAAAATAACATATAATTTAAAAATAAATCAAATTATTGAGTGTATAAATACATTTATTNTTTGTGACCTCAAAAAATTTATAGTAGGTGCCTATGTACATACATCTCAATAACTATTACATTAGTATATATAATATACACCTTAATTAAAAAAAAATATGAATTTAGGTAATTAATAATTTAGTTAATTGCCGAATAGGTTTTTGAATAATAACAGTGCTAGACAGTATAATAACTGCCTTCATTATATTTAACTGTTGAGCAGTGGACTCGCTATTAAGTATCCATTGAGAGTAAGTACTAAGAAACACCGTTGAAGATAACAATAAATATGTGACAACTCCAAATAAAGAATGCAGCTGCTTACACAAAGGTGGACTTATAACTTTTCTTAAGGAAAAGCTGTAAGAGTATGCTACACCTAAAGTTATTGAAGGAACAGAGGAAAACACTGAAACCAGGCCAAAGAGACTATGCCATGTCTCAAAATGTGGTTTGTCCGAGATATTTTTAACAAGTATAATAACTATAAAACCAACAGCAACACATAGAACTGCCAGACTTTGTAGCATCCAGTGGATTTTCTTCTTTTCTTTGTAATTAAATTTTCCTTCGAGAATAGGAGAGTTTGAGAATACAAAAATGGCAAGAGTCATTAGCAGCCACTGAAAATGCACCAGTGTTAAACCACACTTAAACTTTAACAAAAACCACAAGATCTTTTTAAAATTACAAACTTACCCCAATCGACAATAGGGAAGGATGAAATGAGTATAAAGAAACTCCATTTTTAAAAGTTAAATAGTTAAATGTAAGAATCAATAATAGTAACAATGTAAAAATTATTAAAACAGCAGATCTTTTCAAAAACATATAAAACCGATAAGGCGTCATTTTACATTTAATGACCCTAGTTTGTAAACATTTTTATCAAGTTTATACCCACTTATTGATAATTATGTTGTCGTTATATTCAGCACAGCGATTAATAACATGTTCAAAACAGATACTTTGGAATACAATTCACCTAAAAATAAATAAAATATTAAGTAAATAATAAAAAATCTCCTTTCTTAAACTTTTAAATCAGTGCCCCACAGAATGTATTGTAACACACCTTTGTATATTTATTTCTTATCTATGATCATCTGGTGGTGTCACGACTGCATAGTCACGATAATAATTGATAATTGGCAAAAATAGAGCAACAGCATCAAGTACAGTAACATTTTAAATTGACATGAATATAATCTCAACTACGATCATTCGTCAAAAGTGCAAATAAATTAAAGACGTCAGAAAAAAAGTAAACATTATTTATGGATAGACTCAGGCGACTTGAGATACAATCAATGACCTTCAATTAAAACCATAACCTCACGTTTGAATTTTAACCTACAATTCAGTCGTTCAAAAATTTAACCATTTCAGAAAAAGTGTTTACTGATTTTCTCAAATAATTTTGAAATGGCTCGACCAGCAGGTTATTCTAGTGATGAGGACGACTATGACTCCTTTGTAAACATTTTTATTTGCATATCGACTTAAAATTTAAAGTCAATTTTAGGGTGAAGATGACTTTGACGAGCCCCCATTTATTCAAAGAAATCTTAACCCCGAAGAAGAGCATGAACAGAGATTGGATAGCTTATTTTTTGCTATAATGCGAGACGACCTCGAAACAGTAAATCAGCTATTAGATGAGGGTGGGTAATGAAACTAAACTTCTAAACTTTTTACACAGTCTTTAATTTTAGGTTTAGATATTACTGTTACTGTAAGAGACAATTGGAATCTCATTATGTTAGCTGCGTCTACAGGGGCTGTTGCTATAGTGCAAGAATTGATAAATAGAGGTGCAGATGTTAGTTGTAATAGAGGTAGGATTGGATTTCCAATAACTGTTATTTGCTTCTCAAGAAAAAGTGTTTTATTGCAGATAAATACACAACTTTAATGGCTGCTTGTAGTTGTCCTTCATCAACAGCTCCTTATGAAAAATCTGCTCAAATTGCAAAATTGCTGGTAGAGCATGGTGCAGATGTAAATGCAATTTCTAGAAAACGAATGACTCCTTTAATGTATGCAGCTAGCAATGGAAATGTGGAAATAGTCCAACAGTTACTTCCTCTTTGTGATAAAGATGCAGAAGATAATCAAGGATGGACAGTAATAATTTACTTAATATATAGTTAGCTCTTATATATGTTTCAAACTATTCAATTCAAGGCATTATTTTGGGCTGTAAATGATAACCATGCAGAGGTAGTTAAAGTTCTACTTGAAGCAGGTTTAAACCCAGAAAAGAATGATATAAGAAGTAATTCACTTTTACACTATGCTACCATGAATGATGCAGACGATATAAAAGAACTTTTACCTACAAAACAACAAATACAAACTGTAGAAGATGTTTTTAAAAACTCAAGTTACAATTTTGAAGAGGAGTTTGAGAATCTCAAAGAAAACGAAAGGTAAAATGCAGTTTCTTAATTGAGCTGAGATAATCTTATTTGCTGCTCCTGTATTTTACAGGCCAATATTTTTCCGTGATGTTTGTGTGATGTTGTATGGAATGAGATGTGAACAACTTATCAACATCTTTTCTAAAAGGAATGTAGATTTGCTTACTTTTGTGACCCTTAATGAGAAAAAACTCCAAGATTTAGATGTCATATTGCCCTACCAAAGAAAGAAAGTAATGATAGGGCTTTATAAGTTTCATAAGTATCCTTATCGGGCCAAATCAATACCTATTGTCTCCAAAAACGAAATATACAGGTAATGCTCTTTTAGAGACTATCTATCCTGGGAAAGATTGACAATATGACCCATATTATTCGTACATGTTACTGTTTATGTATCTGAATGTTGTACTGATCCATCATCGTTATCATAAGGCCTTCACTTTGAAGACTTGTTAAATTTATACATAATTACAAAATATCTATTTCAGCACTATAGACTTCTCGAATGCCTTAATATCAGCAGTGCGTCAAATAACAACCATGGAAGGAGCTGTAGTTTATATGAAATCACAAATTTCAGAACCTCTTTTTGATAAGCAAATTGAGAACAGTATTGTGCAAATTCAGACAAAACTTAAAAGTGTAAAAAGGTTATCAAATATGCTCTTAAAAAAGGCAAAAGAGGTAAATATTTAAAAAATACATATTGTCAATGCAAAATTGTTTTAATCACTTTTAGTGGGATCAAATGACAAGTTCTGCAGATCTTATCACGAAAAATTCATTAAAAAAGAGAAAATTGTACAAACGATGGATATTATTCTTTGGAATTTTAACAGTCTCGTTTTTTATTAGCAAAAGATCAGTGTTCAATTAAAAATTGTTCTGAAGTATGATAATGTAATGTGCCTTTATATTTTTTTAATAAATACCTAAGTTTTTGGTACTCGATTTATTTTTATCTCTTAAGGAAAATATTTAAACAACTTCTTTTATTAAAAAACATGTTGAATAAAATGAAGTCAAAATGAAGATTTTGGACTTTTTATTCGGTTATTCTAAAATAACTTCACAAAAATTACAGAAAACTGTTCAACTTTTCTCTGAGAATAACAAAAATGTTCAAATATCAAATAAATTGTAATTTTTTTGACACCTTTTTTTTTATTTTAGTCAGTAATATGCTTGTACAATGTAAATGCTTTAACTTTACTTGTCGAAAGTTCTTTGTTATGAGCACTTTTTTCAAGTTACCCCATATGCCTGTTAATTTAACTTCCCTCCTTTAAAATAAATAAAAGGGTAAACAAGTTACTGGCGCATGTTTTCCGAGACATATTACCATGCCACATGGAAACAATTAAAAACATGTTTTTGAGGTACTAACCATTAAAAAAAGTTGCTTCATTCCCACCAGCTGCTAATATCGATAGCGGGGGGTCCCTCCGGGCTACGCTATACATACTGCAAAACCAAAGGGTAGGGGAAAATCGTTTTTTTTTTATCTTTTAAAAATCATAAGAATGTGTTGAGAAAAGATAGATGAGGCAAATCAAATAAAAACAGAAGAGAAGTGAAAGATTACTGCCCTCAGCGTTTACCTAAATGGCACAAGGAAACCAAAGAAAAACATAGATATAGGCACACATACTCCTAACCCAACTAGTGTCTTCCTGAACGAAAACCTCTGATCTCGATTCTAGACGCTCAGTTCCAAATAACTTCTCTTCAGCAATATACCATACAGAATCTATCAAAATAAAGTTTTATGTTTACTATAAACTCCCCCCCCCCCCAGATGAACGTGTGAATTTTGTTTTTTCTCCATGTATGGAACCTTAAAAATATATTAGATGTTTCTAAATAAACAAAACAATTGAAAATTAAACAAATATGCTTTATTGTTTATAAATAAATTAGAAAAATTCTCATGGCTTAATACAATAGAGCAACTTTTACAATACACAACTGTGATGAGTACAAGCGATTATACCCCTAACAATATTGCGTTTTTGTAGTAGGATACATAAAGTCAAGCATTTGATTGCACTATTGCTTCTTTTTCCATTTTTTGTTTTTTACAATTACCTCGGTCCAATTAATTTAAACAAATTCTAAATACGTTATTATTAGCAAACTTAATAACAAATAATTATAAACGAAAATAAATTACAGAGATTAAACAAACGAAAATACAATAAGCACATGGAAAATATATGATTTTTTCCTGTCGTTAACATTAGTGTTGGATCGGTATTAATTTTTCGCCATGGGCAATAGCTGGCAATGGGGCTTCTACGGTCAGAACGCCGTCTTTGCTCAATGAGCTCTTGATATGCTCGGGGTTTGTACCCTTGGGAAGCAAGAACTCCCTATTGTACTCCCTGTATACGGATTTTGATTCGCTTTTTTCTTCGTGTTTTGCATGGACCTACAAATTTATATTATAAACAATAAAAATACGCTAAAGGAAACAATTTTCACGTGGTCACATTTTGGCGACCATTTCTTACTTATTGTTAGTGATACCACATTTTCTTTAATTGTGGTTAATTTAAGGCTTTTTTCATTTCGAATAATCGTTTTAATTACATACTGAAGAAACAAGAACAATTAGTTATTGATTAGCAATTTATTGAAACTACCAACAGACATAGATCATATAATATCTAGTCATGGGCAGTATATCTGCTGTAAATCTGCTGTTGCATTTGAAATGTTTGACAAGGGCCTTCCAAAGATATCTATTAGTCAAACTGAATCTACGAAGTAGTTTATATTATCTAAACCAACTTTATAAGAACAATAAGTACTTTTTCAACAATTTATAGCAGCTATCAACTAGTCTTTTTGGTAGATATCTTCGTAAGCCTCTTATCAAACATTTCCTAGTCATTAGTAAATGTCAATAGACAGTGATATACTGCTTATAGCTTAATTTTTGACTTATATCAAGCTAATAGCAGTTTAGAAAACTTTCCAGAGTAATTACTGTCTCACTTGCATATTCCACATGATGGAAGAAGACAAGAAGACTAGTCTTTTTGGAAGAGAGACTAGTCTTCTTGCAAGAGTCGTACACCAATAACACACAATCTCATGTAAATGGCGAGTAAGACAACAGTTACACCATCTTTACTCCCTTTCTCACTACATGCAGTAATATATGTCCTGTAATACATCCTCCAATCTACATTATCCTCCAATCTACATTTAAAGAAAAGGAAGAAATATTCTGGAATGTATTTCATAGCAGCGTTGCCGCATTAATAAAAAAAAAATAAAAAACTTTATTGTACGTTTATATTGAAGCGGAAAGGGAGAAAATTTGTAATGGTCCATAAAATGAATAATGCATTAAAATCCGAAATAGCGTTTGTGAACATTACAAGCGATGGAAGTTTATTTTGACTATCAGCCAAAAGCTTTCAATTTTTATGACGCCATAAAAAAATTTTTTGTCCAAACGCTTGTCATCATTCACAGGTTACTGTTACAATATCTGACACACTGACCAGTACATTTTACTTTTAAAAATAATTACCCGCATTACTAACTGTTTACAATTGAATTAAAAAGAAACATTTGTTCTTAACAACAACACTTTTTTATTCACATACACATTTGAAGTGAGAGTACACTTTATTTAATTAGCAGAAGGCGAACAGAACAAATACTTTTTCAATTTCAATTTTCGTTAAAATATCAACTAGCAAAATTTTGTGGGTAACTATTAAATCAGTTATTTGCGGATAAATGACTAATTGTTCTAATTATTTTTAATTGGAATGAAGGTGATAAAATACGTGACTAACAACCTGAGATTTCGCCCACTAGACAACACGTCATTGTTTCGGAAATCTTCACCAAAAATAGGAACAATTATTTTAGGTGCGCTAGTAATAGTTTAAAATTGCAAAAGGCGTTGAATGACGACGGTAAAAATAGTCCTAGTTCTCATTAAAAACATGCACAATATATCACACCCAAAAACGTAGCTACTTTACAACTTAATTAATAATCTTGTTTTATAAATATAACTAAAGTAAAAACAAGAAGAATTTTGGTTTTAATAAATAAATATATAATAAATACCAGGAATTCTCTGATCTCGATTCTAGACGCTCA